AACACAAGGGTCAATGCTTGTACACAGCCGCAACCACTGCTGCCAAAATGACGAGCAATGGCAAACGATGGTCTATTTGTAGGGCTCCTTATCCGGTAGATGGCGAACGTAGTGGCTGAAGTTCATTGACGTAGTTGCACGTGCCGAGGATACAGCAGCAGCAGCTAAGCAGTGCTGTCCAGTGAGCCGTGCAGATAAGATTCACCACCTGGACGGAGCGAACACAATGGTCAATGCTTGTACACAGCCGCAACCACTGCTGCCAAAAATCTGGGGGAGCTTATCTACCTTAAGAAATTTAGTGGGAGCATCATTTGCAAAAAGAGAACAAATATATTGTTACGGTTTATTAAAGGATGTCGGGTTTTGTTTTTTTTTGCAGGTGAGGATGAGATTGGGCATTCAGAAGTAAAGATGGAGTCCTCAGGCTGCACCAGACAACATCGTCTTCCTTTTTCACATCACCGGCGTATACCACAGTCTTAACTTACAGCACAAATTTCCCCAATGTAAACAGAATCCTTAAACGACATTACAGCATTCTGGAACGGAACAAAGTGAACGTCTGAAACGCGCATTCCCATTCGCTCCTGGCGTCGTTTACCGACGACCACGCAACCTCAAAGACACACTTGTCCGCTCTCAAATCAATACCTCACCCCCTAATAACACATGCCGACCTTGTTTAAAGTCACGATGTCTTGTATGTAAAGCGATGCGAGAAACACACAAAGCAACCAGCACACTATCCAAGTTTTCGATTAACATACGAGGAAACCTAACACGCGGTTCCTCTAATGTGATGTACCTACTCTGATGCAACGTGTGCAGTATGCAGTACATCGGACAAACAGAAACACCATTTAGGATTCGCTTCAATAATCACCGAGCCTATGCGAAATCAGCCCCAAATCTACCCCTATCAAAACATCTCAATCTTCCCGACCATGCATTCGACAAACTATCAGTAACGCTCTTAGAGACGAAATTTAAATGAAACCGAGAACGTGAACAGCGAGAGTCATACCTTATCCGTCGATTTAACACCTTCGATAGGGGAATAAATGAGAATCCGGGTACACTTGCTGCAATTAAAGCATTAGAAAACAGTAACGGCAATAATGAAAAAATTACTGAGTGCACGGCACTGCAGCTGCGAAGGGCACTGGACAACTCAAAATAATTGCAACTGTAACTACTCTTTCTAAGTACAGCTGGCATCTCTTTCTGTTGTTACCTCACTATACAATCAATTGTGCCAAACATGACATGCCCAACAGCAATTCTGTGCACAGTCGGGAGGCCCCTACTGCACGCGTAATGCAGAAGCGGGCAAGAATTGCCATTGCACCCGCTTGCCAGCCTCTGCAGGAATACGCGGCGCCCCTATTTCTATGACGAGATGTCGACGGGGCGCTGAGTAGTTAAAAGCTTAAACTTCTTTAAAAAGCTCTTTTTCCTCCACACCGAACCGCCAGAGCCAGGAGGCGCCGTCTGGTCGGGAACAATGCGTTAATATAAGGAAGGATACACAGATCACAGACATCCTAAAGGTGAAAAGGAGAAAGGGGGGAAAGATGGAGGGGGAAGGAAGAGTGAAAGGGGGCACCTGGGGAAGTCCACCTTATATTCTCCTTTTTTCTTTTGTTTTCTTTTTTCTTTTTCTTCTTTTTCTTTCTTTTTTCTTCTTTTTCGTTTTTTTTTCTTTCTTTCTCTCTCACCCTCTGATTCAAGATTGTATAAAGCTGAACACCAACAAACTGTACTCTCAATCCTGATGCAGGCCAGACTATAGGCCGAAACGTCGAAATAAACCACGTTGACCGCTCACAAAGGGTCTACTTGACTACTTGCAACGCTACGGCCACTCAACCACCATGCCTGCTTATAGATAGATAGATAGATAGATAGATAGATAGATAGATAGATAGATAGATAAGATAGATAGATAGATAGATAGATAGATAGATAGATAGATAGATAGATAGATAGATAGATAGATAGATAGATAGATAGATAGATAGATAGATAGATAGATAGATAGATAGATAGATAGATAGATAGATAGATAGATAGATAGATAGATAGATAGATAGATAGATAGATAGATAGATAGATAGATAGATAGATAGATCTGTGTGTGTGTGTGTGTGTGTGTGTGTGTGTGTGTGTGTGTGTGTGTGTGTGTGTGTGTGTGTGTGTGTGTGTGTGTGTGTGTGTGTGTGTTGATGGTGGTGGTAAGAACATTTATTTACCAAAAAAAAACAGGAGGTATGCAGCGACCGCCTCACAAGAGGACGGCACTGACAACGAGTAGGTGGGGATTATTAGTACGGGAACCCATGGGAGTCGGCTTCTGCCTGGGTTCGTCGAACCAAGGCCTTTTGGCGATAGTTATAGTGCGAGAACAGAACGACGACACAGAGACAAGAAGGGCACGAAGGACACAAGCGCTAACTTCCAACTGAGTTTTTTTGTGCAGAGCGCGAAAAAAATATATAGAGGAGACAGCAAACCATGTGACAAAAACCATATGGCACAAAGAGCAAAACACGATTAAAGCACAGAAAAAGGCAAAGAAAGGTCTCTGAGGAAACGAAACAGAAAAGTAAAGGTAATATAACTACTAGCGCGCACCAAAACCTTCGAGGAACCTTAGTTCCCCCTCGGACAGAAATACGGAGGGCTTGCTCATGCAAGACACCTGTTCGCGTGCCATCTGCGCGGCCTCGACGATGTCTCGGGTGCTCTCATCCTTGTGCTTGTACAGCGTCGCTGTGTCCTTGTAAATGGACACACAGTTGCACTCAGTGCAGGGCTGAGCAAGAAAACCATCTTTCCCACCATCAGCACTGTACTGAGTGGAGATGTGCCCTCCACGTGCGTCGAGTGCCCTCCACGTGCGTCGAGACGCACGTGGAGGGCACATCTTCACTTTAATGGGAGTTGAACGCAATATTCCATGATGTGAATGTGTTGTATGTGTAGGCGGGCTAATAAGCGGCGGTCTGCTACCATCTGTGAAAGTCAAGTGTACTGATTTGTGAGGTGGGCCTCTCGAAGCTCCCGAAACGTATTCACCATGCCCAGGCCTAGAAGGCGCTGGTTAGAGGTGTTTGCGGGGAGGTCGAGGGCTCGTTTTACAATTTTGCGAAGGATGACTTCAAGTACATCCTCGTCTTGCTTCCGCAGGTGGAGGTATGGTGTAGAATACAAGATTTTACTGGTCACAAACGCATGTACCAACCGCAAAACATCTCTGTACCGTAGCCCCCCCCCCCCCCCGTTTATTTGAGACCCCACGGACTATGCAGCCCACCTGGTCACCCACCTACCGGAGTTTGGCCAATGTGGTGTCAGACAGTCTGTTTTGATTAATATAGACCTTCAGTACCCGGCCTTCTCTTTGTTCAGGGATTGGACCTGTCTCCAGTGAGAGATCAATTTTCGCTGTGCCCTTGAGTGAGGGGTGTATGTGCACAAATTCTGATTTGGATGGCGAGCACTGAAGGCCACATTGGCGGAAATAGCGGTCGACTATGCTCGCGGCTTGCTGCAGGTTCGCCTCAATATCTTCTAGTGCACCCTGCGTGGCCCAGATGGCGATGTCATCACCATACAACGCATGTTGTATACCATGAACATCAGCCAGCTGAGCCGTCGGGTGCATCATGGCAAAATTGAATAATAAAGCAGACAGCACCGCACCTTGTGGTGTACCTCTAGTTCCCTAGGAGAAAGGGCCACGTTCCTTGCCCTGTAAGCGTATGTAGGATTGTCTGTCGGTTAAAAACTGCCGAATGTGTCTGAATGCTCTCAAGCCACAGCCAGTTTGTTATGTGTGTGGATGTTCAACTACGCTAACGGAGGATTCTTGTAAGAAAAGTGGCAGAAGAAACCGTGTATTTTCGCCTCAAATATTTGATTGAGTAAATATTAGATCACTAGCGTTAGCAAATTTCACTCAAAGAATCCATTTATGCCATTTATATGCTAAAAGCACGGGAAAAGTACAGACAAGCCAAGGCGGTAGTGGTTAGAAGAAGAAGGCGTTTAACCCATTCCCCAAAGTGGGTACGTGCCATTTATCCAAGGAAACAAACAAACACATTTTTGCCGCCCAGTTTGTAGCACGGCGCAGCGCCTGCAAGCAAAGTCAACTCGGGAATCGCGTGCTAGCACAGAAACACGGAAAGGGGAAAAACAAATCTTAAAAAAAACTTTTACTACTGCATGGTTCTACTGGCCCGGCCTGCGGCCCCGTAAGCTCCCAGTGGGAAGACGGAATCACCCCTCTTTTTGGTGGCATTTGTTTTTTCACCACACAGAGCAGCACATGCTTTCCTTCGAAAGAAGTTGGGGCGCTGTAGTTCGGCTTTGGGGACAGAACGCATACACCACGCGTCCCGTCTCTCTCAGAGCACGGCCGGACTAGACTGCACCTGCGCGCTCGCTTGAAAAAAGCACGCGCAAGTGCAGTCTAGCCCGGCCGAGCTCAGAGAAAGAAGACCTGAATGAAGGAAAGGAATGCGGGCCTTCCGCTTTTTTCCTTTAGGTTCCTTTTTTAGCTCGCTGCGTTAGGAAGGAGACAACGCTCAGAGCAACGACAATTTGCTGAAGCGCTACCATGAAAAATCTAAGACGCACATGCATGCATTGAGTAGCATTTCCTTTGCCGTGTTCCTAGAGGCAGCCGCAACCCGCCGCCGAGGATTTCATGCGTACTCGTAAGTGGCAATGTTTCCTGACGCATTGCCAGTTTTGTCTTTTGGAAAAATTCACTTTGATCTGTGCAACTGATGTGTCAATCCGTCAGTCTTCTCTAGCTGACGGATAAGAGTGGCTCAGGTGAACGGCTGTTGTATCAGTCATCGTTGATCGTTTACGGGTATATATACGCATTTCATGTTTTTTTGTTCTTTTGTTTATGTTGCAAGAGCATCACAAAGATTGCTATTTTTCCCATTAGGGAGCACTGCAACAAGGAGTGCGAAAAGTGTGGATAGCGCGATGAACTGGTCTCGCCGTGCTGAAAGGAAGTCTGGTAAGATGCATGCTTGGTTGCTAAAGTCCAACGCAATTTTTTCCCGTTACATTAGGTCGCAAATGAGCTGTAAATGACTGAAAAATATCTGCCAGGCCCGCCTTGAAGGTAACATGGGTTGTCCTTAATGTATTTGCTCTACTGTTTGTTTCCAGGGACATATTACGAGGAAACTGTGTGCTCTGTGGCTTCAAGCACGTTTCACAATATCAACGCACCGACACAATTATTTCAAGTGCACAGTTTTTGTGTATATGCCCCCAAAATTGTTTTGTTGAATTGTGCGTGCACATTCGCATGCGCAAAACGCATGCAACTGTGCAACTAGTTATGTAACTAGTCTGCCTTTCTATAAGTAATAATCATTCTGTTTTTTTTTGTTTTTTCACTTTTCCCAGCACCAGAACGATACAAGCCTCATATCTCGGTGGTAAAACGTCGCACACAGAATACTTATTCCCGGCCAAAAGCACGAAAATTTACTGAAAGAGAGAACTGATCTAGCAGGAATACCACTTCATCCACTGTATAGTTGGGTTGCACAAGGCCTGCTGCAAATCCTTCCATGCAAACAATGCAGCATGAAAACAGAGTGCATTTATTCAACTGCGAAGTCCGCTGTAAGTGAGGAAGCTTACTTTTGTCTTTTATGGCGTTTTACATACTTACACGCTAAGAAGTGCAGACTTTAGGAGCGTTTAATTTCGTCTTACATGTGCACTAAGCCAATGCCATGTGCACAAAATACAAAAAAAAGCAGAACAAGGAACGTTGGCAGCCGACCTACAGCCGTCGGTAAATCGACGCTTATTTAATGTCGGGCCATGGTCAAGCCACGCGCGGCACGCACTTGGCCTCGTCGGCCAACGCGGTCGAGCCTACGTTGTGTGCCGACGTCGGCCGGCGTGAGGCCAATGTCAATCCCCAAGACCGGCCATACGTTGGTTTCCAAGGTCGGGCCAACCACTTCGCAGTCAGTCACAGACCTCTCGCCGACCTCTTGCCGAGGACAAATTTCTGCTTGGGGTGAGATCGATGACTTGACGCTGTTCTTCGGCGTCGCGGCTGTGTAATAAGGCCTACCAGAATGTTACGTTTCTATTTGGGTCATTGTAGGATGGGCAGGTCTATATCATGTGCACTAAACCTGCAGAGCTGTTTCAGTATGCACATCTGGAGTTAAACACTTCCGGGTGCCATTTACTGTACAGGTGAGGGTTTGGAAACACTTCGGTTTGCGATTTTTACCACATGCATAGTTTCCTCCTTTTTGTTCAGCTGTTAAGCGGCCTCTGGATAAATCTTACGGTGGAATTTATATGCGCGGTGATTTCCTGAAACGTTCGTAGTTCATCTCTTGTGAAGTGGGGCTAATCGAGCGAAGGCGGCAGGTCAGCGTCGACCGACCGGAAAGTGCCCCCTCGGGCGATCACGTGTGCCTTCTCATTCTCCTTCAGACCTTGATGGGCGGGGACCATATCAGCGAGATTCGCTCCACGGATACTTGTCTCAGAATTTTGGTGGCTGTAGCAGAGATCCTGCCCATATCATAGTTCTTAATGGCTGACTTAGAGTCGCTAACAATCATTCGTGTGCCTTTTTGTGCTATTGTCAATGCAAGCGCAAGTTCTTCTGCCTCTGCAGTGGTTGTGTTCTTAGAAGTGCAGCACAAGACCAGGTCCCCGCTCTCGCGAACCACTACCGCTGAGTATGCTCCCTTCTTACCTATTCTGCAGCGTCCGTGTAAAGCACGCCAGATCTACCTTTAAGTTTCGCCTGCAGGGCTAGAGCTCTAGCTTTGCATCTGCATTCGTGGAACACAGGATGCATGTTTTTCGGCAGCGGTGTAATTTTTAGTCTCGCCCTAGTTGATTTAGGTATGCTAGCTAGTTTGTCTAGAACACTTCGTAGGCTCACAACGTGACGTCACCGGTGCACGTGCAAGGCGGTGGTTGGCAAAACATTACCGCCGGTGGCTGAGTGGGGTGCAGTCGCTAGGTGCTTGCGGCAAATTTTGTTTTTCTTTTTGAAAGCTCAATCTTCATCTCACAGTGGCAACATTAGCTGTGGTATGTGTCAGAGAAAATCTAGGTGTGTGATAAAGAGCGTGATGAAATATTCACCACACTGACTGGCTGTTTATCTCGGAGAAGTGTACACACGCGCCGGCCTGTGCTAGGAACAGCGGCATCGCCTTCGAAAATGTGTAGCGTTGAGTATGGCGTGTAGCGTGCGTTGAAAGGCATCGATAATATTGGTTCACCTTTACGGACGGGAAAATTGGGAATATTGAGCGTGGTGTGTGCAGTGTGAATAACGCGATGCGTCCTGTTTGCGAAAACACTGGTATTCGTTGTTGGTCGGTTTCAGTAACCGGTTGTCAATGGAACTTTGCGATCTGACATTGTAGTCAAGATAAAAATACATTTGACGCGATCATCTGCGATTGGGTACATCTCAGCGTATGCGCGGCGTGCAGAAAAATAAAAGTTCATGATCTCCGGGTGATATAAACGACTACGCATGAACTATAAGCATGTTGTAGCGTTGCTGAATCTGCATATATGCTTCACCACGGCTATAACTGGTATTATTAAATACCTGATATGTGTTAATAGAAACAGCGGAGATTTTCGTTTCTTATCTACTTTGTACTTTTACGGCTCGATCCTTGTGAAGTGACAATGCGCATTAGAAGTGTGTATCAGGCCTACAGGAGAAATATGTATGTACGAAAGCACGTTATAGGTGTTAAATGCAGCAAGGTAAGTGTTCCAGATGATAGTATATATTATTAAGATGTCGGGTTTTACATAACATGAATTTTCACTGAGTTATTGAGAAACTCAGCGGCAGAATGTTACTTTGATTTTCACGAGGATATGTTAACCTCAGCCAAATCCATGGCAAGAACTGTTTCTTTTTTTTTATTCATCTCCGATCAGACTTTTGGGCAATGAATGAGAATCTTATTCGTGACAATGCGCACAGCAGCTCACAACCATGCTGCTGCCAATGCTGTACCTCGTTTAAAACTTCATTGCACATGCCACGATGTAAATTGAATAAGTTTGCATCCATGTCATGCAAATATTTCTCAAAGTGCCAGTAACCGTGTAAACTCAAAATGTTCGCGTTCGAAAAAGATCAGATTTTTTTTATGGCTGCCATCTACGCGGGTGAAGCCCACTGCGTGCTAGTCGCGTCTCTCAGTACTCAAAACAAAGCTTGTCCATCCATCCAACTACGAAGAGCGAATTTCTACACTATCAGTAGTGACCCTTCGGCGACCCCCTTCTTTCAGAAGCTGTTAGAACATAGCAATAAAGAAATTTCTGTCGAAGGAATGCAAACACGCAGCTCTGCTATGCAAAAAGATGCCGCCGGAGGAACTTTCTTGCCAACCAGCAGCTGCTCTGAGAGGGTATGGGGTGCCCGCAGTGACGTCACACTGTTTAGAAACAGGCAGAGGTCTATTGAAGACGCGAGGTTTCCTGAAAGAGAAACTTCGGGGGCAGCAGAACGACAACAGCACTGGACTTTGAGTGAGTGATTCTCGGAAGAGCATCATTCAGACTTTTGTTCCAAGGGCTTTGGGCTGAATAAGTTTTCGAACTCTTTAGTCTTTGTCTTGGTTGTTCGATGCATGCGATTGCATTGTAGTGCGTATTGTTGTTTGTGTCCGTTGTTTCGAGTGTGGCTGATTGTACTGTGTAGTACGTTGTTAGATTGGCGACATATCGTATTCAACTCTTGTCAAGTGTGCATATTTTTGTATCGACTGGATCTGCCAGAATTGAGAATATAATCTTGTTTTGTTTATCAACTCTCGGCTATGACTTGTTCTTTGGGCCACAGCCCAAATAGGACCACTTTTAAATTGTCCGCGCTTTCGTGGTGCAGTTCAGGGGGCCGATACTTCTGCCCTTGGAATGAGCCCGGCGATCGCCTCCCTAATTAACGGGACCTGTGACACTTGAGGATAGCAGCTCAGACGAGGACAATCGCCAAATTAGTGTGCTGAGCTCAGAGAGCTTTCGCTACATGCAGACTTGTGTGTGTGAGAGAGAAAAAATTATGAGAGGTCAGACATCAGAGATATTCACTGAACTGATCGGCACCATTTGTTGCCACCGCACACGCGTAGCAATGTTAATCCGGCAGTTTCTCGCGCTGGCTGATCGGTGGCACTTCAGGCACGCTACAGGCACGCAAGAATACACCAAATCAGGGAGTACAAAGTGATATGAGATGGACGTCATTTGAGGGCAGGGAAGCTAGCAGCAAGATAAAATTTGAGAAGCGATTGAGAGAAATGGGGGAGGAGGGTTGGGCTAGGAAGGTTTTCAGCTACTTGTACATGAAGAATGTCGATACAATATAAAATAAGCGAACCAGAAAATTAACTGGTAAATACTTAGAAAACAGCAGAGAGCCAGACCAAAAAGAAATGTCAGTTAAGAAGAAGGTGAAGGAAGCTGAGACCAATATGTGAAGAATTGGCATGATTAAGAAGTCCGCACTAGAGATCTATCGAACGTTTAAGCAGGAATTCGTCAAGGAAAGGATCTATGATAATACTCGGGGTAGTTCTCTACTGTTTGAGACCAGGACGGGAGTATTACGAACCAAGACATATCGGGCCAAATACGAAGGGGTAGACACAGTATGCAGTGCGTGTGGAGAGGAAGAAGAAACTGCCCAACACAGTAACACTTGATAATGTTCTGCAAAGGGCTTCACCCTATAGTCCAGGAAGATGGCGAAGAGTTTTTCAAAGCACTGGGGTTTAGGGACAGGGAGGGCAAAATAGACTTTAAGCGGGTAGACTTAACTAGAAGGAGGTTATCTGATTGGTGGCTAAAGTCAAGGCACGAGTGAAAATTAAACCCTTCACTGCAAAGTTCCTGTGCAACTTTACTATTTAAAGGGAAAAAAAAGATAAATGTAGTGGTTAGTTCACGAAGCATTACGGCTAGGTGGCGTTGGCCGCTGCCTGATCTAAAGAATACAGCCACATCCATCCATCTGGATATCAAGAGAGCGGACGATAGCGTGGCTCAAGATGACTTGTGGGGAATACTGGACACACTAGGTGTAGAAGATGGAGCCACCAATCTTTTAAAGGACATCTATAAAGGTAACAAGGTAGTTATAAAGTGGTAAAAATAGGTATCCAAGCCGACAGAGGTAAAACAGGGGCTTAGGCAGGGGTGTCCTCTGTCACCCTTGTTATTCATGATGTATGTACAAGGATTAGAGGTCAAATTAGAGGGAAGTGGACTTGGCTTCAGCTTCTATTTCGTCAAACAAGGAAAACTCATTGAACAGGCACTACCAGCATTGATGTACACAGATGATATAGTGCTGATGACCGACAACAAGGAAGATTTGCAGAGATTGATAGACATCTGCGGTAATTAGGGAGATAGGTCAGATTTCAGATTCAGTCAGGAAAAATCCATGATTTTTTATGATAATGAAGGTAGTCAGCTTCGAATACAAGAGGTCACGCTAGAGATAACAGATAAATACAAATATTTGGGTGTATGGGTGAGCAATAGGACCGAGTACCTAAATATACGTGACGACTAAAGATAACAAAAATGCAGCAGTGATGAAAAACACGGCACTGTGGAATTACAATGGGTATGATCTTGTGAGAGAAATATGGAAAGGGGTCATGGTTTTTGGTCTGACGTTCGGCAATGCGGTCTCGTGCATGAGATCAGAAGTTCAAGCAAGATCAGAAATTAAGCAACGCGGAATAGGTAGGCTTGCCTTAGGAGCTCACGGGAATACATCAAATCAGGGAGTACAAAGTGAGCTGAGATGGACACCATTTGAGGGCAGAGAAGCTAGCAGCAAGATAACATTTGAGAAGCAATTGAGAAAAATGAGGGAAGAGCATTGGGCTAGGAAGGTATTCGGCTACTTGTACATGAAGAATACCGATACAAAATGGAGAAAGCGAACCAGAAAAGTGAATGGTAAATATTTAGAAAACAGCAGGGAGCCAAACCAAAAAAGAATTGTCGGTTAAGAAGAAGGTGAAGGAAGCCGACACCGATATGTGGAGAATTGGCATGTTTAAGAACTCCGCACTAGATATCTATCGAACTTTTAAGCAGGAACTTGTCAAGGAAAGGATCTATGATAATACTTGGGGTAGTTCTCTACTGTTTGAGGCTAGGACGGGAGTATTGCGAACCAAGACATACCGGGCCAAATACGAAGGGGTAGACACAGTATGCAGTGCGTGCACATGTGGAGAGGAGAAGGAAACTGCCGAACACTTGATAATGTTTTGCAAGGGCCTTCACCCTATAGTTCCGGATGATGGCGCAGAGTTATTCAAAGAACTGGGGTTTAGGGACAGGGAGGGCAAATTAGACTTTAAGCGGGTACAAATAACCAGAAGGAGGTTATCCGATTGTTGGCTAAAGTCAATAAGGCATGAGTGAAAATTAAACCCTTCACTGCCAAGTACGAGTCCTCAACCTTGCTATTTAATGTAAAAAAATCAATCTAGTTTTCAGTTCGTTAAGTTTTACGGCTTGGTGGCGTTAGCAACTGTCCGATCTTTTAAAGAATACAGCCATATACATCATTCCATCCATTCATTTATCTGGGCAGATCCGAGATCGCCGATGTATTCGTTTGGTACGCTGCCTCTCACGCTCCGATTGCGAGCTGCCTCTGCATCTGGCGACTCTGAGCCAGAGGACCAGAGCGGCCAACCGAATACAATACTCGGCTGCTGACCCGCAGGTCACGGGATCGAATCCCAGCTGCAGCGGCTGCATTTGTGATGGAGGCAAAAATGCTGTAGGTTCGTGTGCTCACATTCGGGTGCACGTTAAAGAACCCCAGGTGGTCGAAATCTCCAGAGACCTCCACTACAGCGTCTCTCATAAGGTAGTTTTAGGATGTTGAACCCCACATACCAATCAAGTTTTCTGATGACTTTGGTTTTTGCTCACTCGCATTGTTAAAGCATAAGGTAGTGCACACCAGGCTACACAAGGAACACGCACACGAAGGGACAACACAAGTGCCGAGGGTCATCCCTTCGTGTGCATATTCGTTTTGTAACCTGGTGAGCGCTGCCATATGCCGTAATGACTTTCCAATTAGTCCGCAAGTACGTCTCACGCATAGTTAACACATTTAGAAAATCATACAATTGAAAATGTGAATGGGACAAACATTCCGATTATTCAATCTAAGTTCAGGGCTGCATATTACGAGTATAATTTTTTTGGAGAAGTAAAAACCACGTTTGCAGCTGCACAATGACCTACTACTTCATGGACACCATGTTTTGTTTGGAAAATGGGCGTGCTGAAAAAGTGGTGCTAAGAAAAAAAGGGGAAAAAGTATTCTTGCTAAGTGAACAATAACAGCATTTTACATATTAATTCCTGCAACTGTTTGGCTCTCATAATAATTAAAACAGAATTTATTTCAGCAAAGCAAATGAGAAAATTATCAGTAAACATGGTACAATTTTTTGGCATGGTAGCAGGCATGCACTTCGGTTCTGTAGCTTCCACAATGCTGTCAAGAAAAGTTGTCACTGCGTACAGATGCGTTACACAGTAGCTACAGGCAGCACCCAGAGGGCATGCTGAACCTTCAGAAGTGCTTGGAACTTTTTTAAAAGCATTGTTGAGCTTGAAGACACAAGAGCACATTAACCCTTTGAGCGACTGTGGAACACATACGTCCGACTTTTCCGCCTGCAGGAAACCTATCAATTGAAATGCTGGATGAGTTGCTCTTTTTCTTGTTTTTGGGAAAGGCGATGTTAGCTCCTGGTCATCATAGGTTTTCGTATAGTTGGGTAATAACTTGACTAAAAAATGCATCGGAATGATTTCCCGTGAAACTATCCCGCTCATTCCTCAGCGCAATTGCGGATATTGATGCTTTGAAATATTTTCTTGATGTGGTGTACCTCTTCAAAAATGGGCATATGTTCAGGGACATCTGTGCGCGACAATTTAAACAACATAAGTAAGAACAGCCAAATGGACAAAAAAAAGTGGTTGAGGTGTGCAGTGAAGAAAGCTTTAGAGCTTGAGAAAGTGATACTCTTTGCCACTTGCTTTGGGCCTTTTCATTCCGAAATTCCTGTTGACACAATCGCGAGATGGTGCCTTCATGAGACAGTGTTTTTCCACATTTTGAAAACACTCTCACCAGTCAACGAGACATATGTCCCATTGGCCTGATTTTGATGAAATGTTTCATAAAAAGATCATCCTTCTGAAAGGCAGAGGGTACTACTCTTGGGCAGAATAGACGACAACCATAATTTCCTTGTGGTTCATATCAATACACCACAGCCAGTTTTTATACAACTGTGTCACAACTATAGGATAACCTGTGTAGCATTAAATTAACAGGATGAAAGAATAGACTAGTTGGTGGTGATGCATTATGAAAACGTGTGGCGCACAAAAAAAGACAGAGACGACTGGACGATGCACTTTCCGGCGCATCATTCTGTTGTCTTAGTCTACACATTTGTCATGCTCCACACATTTTTAAGAATGAAAAGGTTACTTTTTTTCCCTCTTTTGAGTGGAAAATTGCTTTTTAACTGGTTTCTCATCACTTCTAGAAATGTATCCGTCCCCAATCACTTTATTTCTGTCATCTTAGATTTTGAACGTGCTGTCTTGGGTAGTGAGAGTGATGCCTTAATATTTGTGAAGTGGCACCTCCATTCTGAGTACTTATCGCTGGTTTTTTTTTGCAGGCTCTTTGTGTAAAGTATAACGAGAAAGCGATGTGTTCAGCATTCACAATGCTTATGTTATGCAAAGCCTCCAAGGGATGTGGCCAAAGGACGACTTGAGGAATCTGTGCACTCAATCGGCACAGTCTTCAGAGCAAAGTTCACCTTTAATGAAGATATAAGTGTGAGAAACTGAAGCAGCAGACAGCTCCAAGACATTATCTGTACAATTGACGTTTAGAGGAGCTGCAAGTAACGAAAGGAAAGAAGAATAAAAAGTGTATCTTCAGTGTTTATTTACTTTTATTACAACCATTTTTTTCTGATGTTTCTTCGCGCTTCGCCCTCTATTATTCCACCGAATCCCAAACAGGCTTTCATTTATGTTCCCCTTTCTATCAGTTTTTTCGTATCAATGCGTTGTATTTTTGAACTGTTATATGATGTCTGTTTCTTGGTTCTGTATGAGCAGATGTTTGTCGTCGGTTTTTTTTTCTGTACGGGTGCGCGTAAACCACTACAATTGTGTAAGTACTGGCGTTTTACTTTGATGCACTAGTTCTTGATGGTGTAGCTCTGCGTGACGTGTTTCCTTTCCTGTTGTATCTTCATATTTGTTTCCTTTTTTGTATCGCCCACCCCTGCCTAAGGCCTCATGTGTGAGGCTGGCAGTACTTATAAAATAACTAAAATAAATAATTCAAAATTGGTGAAAGGGCGGCACTGCATAAAGCCGGTGAATGCTTGTCAAACTGTGGAAATACAAAACAGAAGCAGATGATCTTACTATACGCATGACATCTGCTTTTCTTTCCTTTGCCCCAAGAAAGCACAAGGTAAAGCTAAGTGTACTAGGGAGCTGATGTCTGGGGACGTAGCAGATGTTCAACATAAAAATTTTCTTGCTTAAAACAAGGCGCTTATATTAAACTCTACTCCATAAATTTTGTTTGTATGGTTTACATTATACTCTCAATGCCAAACATACAGAGGAGAGTGGTTAATACATTTACGTTATACAGTGTTATGCAAGATAGCTTGAAAAGATTAATGGTCTGAGTTGTTGGCGACTGGGTGGAAAAGGTGGTTCTATAGGCGAGGTGTAAACTCGCAAATGCACCCGGTCTGCACTGGCTTCCGGTTCAATGGCTCTCCGTCCATCTGCTACGTCACTTCTTGGGTATCGGTGTAATCAACCTGCCGTGGATCTTTACTGGGAGCGCCTGTACGTAAATACCAAATGTGTCAGACACACGAAACCATCCATGCAGGATTTGCGGAAATATCACCGACCTGACGCTAGGCATCCAAAGGTTATACTACTCACCGTGGCTGTCCTTATTACCACAAAACCCACTTTTATATTTAGTCTTTATCCCAAAGAAATACTACATCCCTTTGTTCTTGGTGCTTGAACTTGAGCAACCGACAGCTTTACAATCAACCACGATTGTGTGAGGGATTAGTTTGCAACACAATTGAAAAAAAAAAAGAAGTGTCTACAGCTCCAAAAACGCAGCCAGAAAAACAGGGCGTCATGGATATCTTGAACCGGAGGCCAATGCAGACTGCGCCTCCCATGAGCCTTTACGGGTTTACGCCTCACTTATTCAAATGCTCTCTTCGGCACGAATGAATTGAAGAAGTTCGTGTGGCAACTTGGCACTTTGACTTTGATGCCACCTATTCGCATTCAGGTATAGCAAGTAGTGTGACACCACCACTTCAACATTTTGCTACGTTTACACTCCTTGTTCCTTAAAACTACATGGTCATCGACCTCCACGCTTCTTTGACACAATTACTAGCAACTATCCTGACATGCGACGCAATTCTATATCTTGTGGAATTAAAAAGATTGTCAGAATCGGCACAGAATTGCTATTTTGCTTTCTCTAAAATGCATATTGTAGCAGAAAGGCGCAAACCAGTGAAAGGGATAAAAAGACCATTCCTTTTCTAGCAACCAGCAGCAGATCAGAAGAATCCATGCAGTATTAAAGAAAGAAGGGTATTTTAAGAACTTGTTTTTCTTTGTCAGATACAATATTAATGAGCACAGGAAGCAATGGCAAGCAAAGTGTAGATGTTGTCTGTAGCAATTAACAGTTGCAGCAAGTTGCATTTTTGCCAACCTACGCTTGCATGGTAATTGTAACAAATAACACTCCCCTTGAATGTCATTTGGCATTAGCATCTGTTCTCGTTACTTCGAGCAGTATTGTATTAATGGCTTTTTTTGATAAACCATGGTTATACCCACTATGGGACATTAAACCACTTTTGAAGACAGCAAAAAATTTTTCTCGCAATGATACTGAAAGGGGTCAAATACTGCACTAAAACGTTTGCCCACAATTTCTTGAAACAAACCCGATTGGTTTCTATATAGTGTCATTGTGGAGAAACAAGCATGTCACCATATTTTCTACTTGTTTAGTTGCGCATGGGTATACGCTAATTTATGAACCTGCAAAATAAAGAAAATGCATCGTGCATCTCTTTTTTGAACCACCGCAATCAGCTCGAGATGCTAGGTCTGCTGTCCGTATAGTTTCAACAGTAAAATTGTGCTAAGAGTGGCAAAAACAGAAGCTCGCTTGCTTACGGGTAACTGCACTGGTTAAGGCCAGTACAGTTACGACATCAGCCAGTGGGAGGCCGCAGAGGCAAAAGCCTTATTGCTTCGTGCAGCGCAGAAAACAAGTCAACATGGCAGTTCATGCATGCCACTTCATTTTCAGAAAGCAAAAAGACGGAAGACTGGCCAACATGAGCGTGGTCTTTCATGTGTTTAGTCTTTGCGCTATTTCAAAATGAACCCAAACCAACTACACCAACACTCGCTTTTGCTGCAGTTTTTGCAACTACAGGCCGCTCCTCTTTCTGTGTGAAAAAGAAAAAAAAACAGCAAAGGCAATGGGTGATCCTGCACATGAAAGCATGCGATATCATTTTAAAAATGCTTATAATGTTGCGCTAATTCGCAGGAACCGATCGACATGTGACACATGTGTCGCACAAAACGGATACGTCATCTGGCTCTTTGAAGTTCGTGTTTTTGCAGCTCACATTCTTCCACACTAAAGACGTAGGCCTTGGTCGCTAATGCAACGTGAAAGCAGCCAAGCGTCAATCATAAAATGCAAGGACTGCGGTAGCCATGAAAGCAATAGATATTCGCCTTAAGATGTTGACCGCGCAAGTTCGTGCATGATGCAGCGGCATTTTGCTTACCTTCTGACGACCAGTAGGCTAAGTGTCACACATCAAATATTGATGCTCGATGTTCCGGATGGTGCTAAATGTGATCGCCACATATGTATCTACATAGATCTCACAATGTCACGTAGAACCATCGTAGAACAGCGCCGACGCTTTGACATTGAACGCAGGCTCACAGTCAAAATGGTAAATAGAAAGTCCCCATGACATCTGCTACAGGAAGCCGGTGGCGCTTCACGCAGTCAAGAAAAACCGAAATCGCGATTTTCTAAGCATCTTCGATCGGTCTGTCATTCACGGGCACCAACCATAAATGCACAAAAGTTTTTTCTGGATGGAAAAATTTTATTACTACGTACATACTCCGTGGCTGGCTAAGTTGAAGGTGTGGAAGGAAAAGATATTTGTCTCAGAACTTTTCACCCCTGTTGAGATGTGACAACATTTCGATCTGTAGAAAGCGACCCTAGATAAATAAATGAATAAATAAAAAAGATTCTCTGATTATGTCACGCCATGCTGGCTATTGGGCAGTGGGGATTCGGCACAAGGTTCGTAGGTTTTCTCTTGAACCTTTTTTTTTTCTTTTTGTTAATCAACTTGTGATTGCAAAAACGGATAAAAAGCTCCATTCAGATACTTTTCCCTCTTGTGAACCATTATCTATTCTGTACAGTTTCCTCACACATAATTGTCTAAGCCATTTCTCATCTCGTGGTCAACTTATCACTTGACAAGGTACATCAAACTAGTTCCAGGTTGAAGCTAATGCCCACGAGTAGTCAATATATTAACTTTTTGTGTCGCTCTGATGCCTGAGCACTCTTATTGTGAGCTACATATAAAATGCATTTGATGTGAATAGTGTTTTTCTTCTGGCACCCTTTGGCAGTCCAGGTGTCTCCATCTTTCTTGTGTCGGACATGCCTTCTCGAATGTCTTCTCGAATGCCTTCTCGAATGCCTTCATCTAGTTGGCGCTAGAACGGTGCACCTGCTTGGAAACATATATTGAATTCATAGAATATTTGAAACAAAAACAAATGAAAAAAGATTGCATTAATTGACGTATTGTTGGTCACAGTTCCTTTTAGACCGCATGGCAGAATGCTACATTTGCAGTAAATGAGTTGAAAGACTGATGCATTGTTGAAACTTGCTATACTTCATTATTGGCTCATTCATATGAATCAATCGAGTTTGCTCTGCAGAAACAATGCAGTTTAGAGGGCCAAGGTCATTTCTGATCTTCCAACAGGGCTGCTGGGATGCAATTGCAAAAAAATATTCAGAACAAGGTATCACTGAAACATTCACTGAAACTGCAAGACGCAAAAACAAAACTTAGCAGAAAGCTCTAAAAAGGTATCTTTATTTTAAGATAATGCAGGCACAATAGCGAACATGCAGCTTCCTTAGGGCCTTTACATACGCTGCCCGCACAGCTGCAACGCACCTGCCGGGAGCCCTACCGCACGCAAGCGGGAGACAAACAATTCAATTAGCGACGCTGCGGAGGGTGAAAGAGCGTTGCCAATTCGCCTATTTGTCCCCCGCTGGCATGCAGGAGGGGTCCCGGCACATGCATTGCGACTGTGCGGGAAGCGCGTAGAACGGCAATTAAGCTATGAAATTTCACCAAGAGTTGTTTCTACACACTCCTTCCTCTTACCTAGCATAAAAACAATCTCACAACACAGGGGCACACAAACGTTATCACATATGTTCTCTCATGGCATTACTATGAAGGTCCTTTAGTTGTCAACTACATCACTCAAGAGAGAAGTGATAATCAGCACTCTTTATCTAAAAAAAAACCTGACTAGTAAATGCAGACCAATATTTCTAAAGTAAAAATTTTCTTTGTTAACCTCAGCTGACATGGCATTGAAAGCTCTCTGCAGATGCTGTTGTCATGTTTAACTCTCATATGCTCTATTTAGATGGAACAGCGTATGAGAGTTAAAGGTGTTTG